TTCTAGGCAATGGTGAAAATAGGGAATAGGACGCTAAAATTACCAGCAGCTGATGCAGTTCGGTTGCAGCATCTGTGGCAAAGTTGTCCGCTGTGTTGGAAGCGCAAAAGTGCGCTATTTTGAAATGATATTTGATCAAAGGCTTTTATCAGTTGAATCGCCCTGTTTGATCGGCATGCTGGCTCGATTTGTATGTTGCAGCTGCAAATTTAACTCTGAAAACGGTGTAGAAGAACGCATATTTTAAAAATTGGACATTTAGAAGGAGTTTTGCTTAAAAATGCAAACTTTATCTAACATTATTTTATTGCAGTCGGATGAACTGCAAGAATTCAGCGTAAAAGCTGGGACGTTGACAAAATTACCGAAGCCTGTGCAACAGATCATCGGCATGATTTTTGATGTTGATTCGATGAACAGTATTTTGCGTGACTTTGAGGTGATTGTTGCAACATTTTTTATCCATACCTATCTGAAATATGCTGGTTGAGCGGAGCAGCTCTTTCGTTGCAAGAAATTCTCATTTCCACCAGTAAATTAACCACTGCTGGAGCAAGTGGTTATCCCGTCAAGCATTGCGAATACCAGTTCGTTACAGATCGATACCGAAAAGATGCCGCTTGGACGACTCTCGAAGCGCCACTTGCAGAACGCATACAAAGTTCTGACAGAGCTGCAAAACGTGGGTGCTTTGAAACTTGTTGATTACGTTGTTTTGTAAAAGAATTTGCAAAAAGACATTATTGTAATGGAGTATTATGTCAGCTGGGTCTATCAGTAAAATTTGTTTTCAGCTGACCGAAGCAGGTAATGCCACGTATGCGAATTATCTGGATGCAACCAATCGATTCTTCACGCTTATCCCACATAACTTTGGCATGAACAAACCTCCTCTTCTGAATACTGCAAAACTTCTGAGCGTAAGTATGAGAGATTCTTTTATGCTCCACTTTCGCCGATTTTAGCTGGTGGTCCAAAACACAGAGCTTGCGAAGGTTAAAGGGAGCATTGGTAGCCGTTTGAGAAAAAGGGAA